AGACAAGCAAACATTTTTATGTGAATTTGACGCACAATTGTTTAGCAGCAGCAACGTTCAAAAATGCTTTTCTTCTCTTTTTATTGCACTATGTGCTTAGAATAATAATAATAATAATAATAATAATAATAATATTATGTATCAGAGTTTTATTGTGAATTTGATGCACTTTTGTTAGCTTTTACCAATAAAGGACAACAGTCACAGATGCTTTTCTTTTCCTTTTATTGCTCAATGTGTTTATAATAATATTTTTTTATATTCCCCTTCCCGCCCATGAGCACCCGTTTATAGACTAATATACAAATTTCTAGATTTCCTGTGCATACGAAACCTAGTCGCCTATTTAGCTTTAGAGCCGACCAAACGCGGAGTAGTGCCAAAGTGCGAGCGAGTCATGCGAGCCAATGCTCAAGTCATGCGAGCCATACATTTTAAATCTTTTTTTTATTTCAGATTATTCAGTGTTGGCCTAGACCATATTTTTAGCCTAGTAAATGCAAATGAATGACACACCGGGGAGCTTTGCCTGTGTAGTCCAGTCATGCACAGTACATACGCTTTTGGACTTATTTTTATATACTTATTTGTATATATATATATATATATATATATATATATTAATTTATATATATATATATTGTATTTTATAAATATACTGTAATTATTTATATATTTATTTATATATTTGTTTGTATAATTATTTGTATATTTATTTATATGTATATTTATATATTTATTTGTATATGTATTTATATATATATATATTTATGTTTATATATTTATTTTTCTAATTATTTATTTTTTTTAATATATTGTTTGTGTATATATGTATATATATATATTTATTTGTATATTTAATTTTATATTCCTGCTCTCCTTGTGTTTAGCTGAAGGGCTGAAATGCATACTTTCAATAGCGCACCATCTTTCGTATGAGACCTTTTTTAGCCATCCCATATGAAATATCAGCATATGGCCACGTTAAAGAACAGTACCAGTTGACCTAAACTTTGCGGAAAATAGGGAATTGTCTCCAGTGTACTGCCCAATCACCACCAATTGGACCCCATTTGAAATAAGTCTTCTCCAGGCTTTCGTGGGTTATTCTTGGGGTATACACCGAATGAACCTATAATATATAAGTTTTAATGAACTTTTATTATGTACGGCACTTTATACACTGTGGTACTATGGTTTGTCCTGTGATAGGCCTATATGAAGATGTAAAATATATTGTTCATTTTTTAAATAAAAATGTTGGTAATAGTTTCTTTTATCACAGAAGCTTCTTTTAATTCTCTTCATCAAAAATGTTACTGTTCGCATACAAATTTTCTAATACCAACATTTTTATTTTGAGTGATACGTTATCACTATCATTATGCATTCTAGTACATATTGAGGGAGTGGATTGTACTATGAAACAAGAAAGGCATTGCGATTAGAGATGTACTAATCGTGTGTTCCTCATGTATATTCACATGTTATATATTTTTTTAAAAAAAGTTGATTTCCATACTAAATGAAACCTCGCCTCTGTAAACCTGAATGCAAGGCTGATTGGAGTCCAGCAGGCCGACGCGAAATGTACCTCTGAAACAGCTAATTCAGGATATGGTCTCCTGCAAACATCAAAAATCGCCCGGAAATTCACTAAAACTAATCTTTTTGTTTTATTTACTGTAGGCCTAAACTTTGGTTGCCAATTATTTTTTGTAATCTGACAGTGCCATTTCCGGGCTTCTAAAGGTGCCTATTCTAAAAAATGTTATCACCTCAGCCCCAATCATAATTGGCCTGAGGTGGGCGTGGCCCTTCGTTTGGTACCTACACTTTTTCCTCTTAAAGCTCGTTTTCCACTGGGCGAATTTATTCGCGCGAATCAAAGCGTCGGTTCGCTTCCTGAATTCTTATTGGTTGCGCATTTTTTCGCTAGCAAAAACTCCGATAGAAATGAGAATGCGCATGTGCATACACCGCCGCTTTCCATTCGCGCGAATAAATTCGCCAAGTGGAAAACTGGCTTTATAGAGCGCCCCTAATGTCATTAACGACTCCCGGAAGCGATTTTTCCCCCGTACGAAACATTTACACGAAACTCCACTCGGGCCGTCTCGGCTGAATCGACCCGAAAATCTCATTGCAGAATTCAGGAGGTCAAAAGGTCATCAACAGATAAACGTCTACAAAACAACGTCTGAGAGAACGTCGCTGTCTAATTTTAAAAAATACATTGATGTTGATAGGTCCATGATGTTACCATGTTAATATCAATGGGTCGTTTAAAATGACATATAATATTTCATTAAGCTGCACGAGAAATGAAAAGTGTTATTTTAACTTGAGTTACATACTATGACAATTTGAATTTTTTAGTTAGGCCTGGGTTTTGCATAATTACCTAGGCCTACAAGTACTAAAAACGCTTTCTGGGAAAAGCACAAAGAGTAAGGAAAAGCGCG